CCCTGTGCTTCAGCAGAAAAAGCCACCACTTTTGCTCCCTTCCTCCCAGCACCCGGAGGAGCCCACTTCTTTGAGCCTGTTCAGCCTCGCCTGGTCACTGTGGCCTGCCTGGGTGTCGCCGGACACCTGCCGGAGCTGCTTCTCCCCCCTGCAGCCCACTGCAGGCCTCAGAAGGGAGGCTCCCAGCTCTACCCAGGTAGGTGTCAGTCCCTCCCATGCACCAATGATGGGTTCATTTCGCTGCAATTTTAGAGTCTACTGTGGGCATGGCACCCTGCAGAGCTGCACATGTGGAGCTGTTTGACACCGACCAACACCTGCCCACAGCTGGTGTGGGGCAGGGACTCACCTCTCGGATTTCACTGTCAGCACCCAGCTGAATGGCTCGGGGTGCTTCCTAAGTGGTCCTCACACCTGTAAGTACTGTGCTGAGATGCGTCTCTGTAAATGAATGTGTGCATGGGCTCTGGGCTGAGTCCTCCTTCATGGCATGGGGCTGAGCGTGACCTGGAGTTGTCCTGAGCACGGGGCTGCAGCTGCAGGGCCAAGTGCATGTGCTGCACTGCGCTCCCGTGTCTGCCTCCCGTGTGGCCCAGCCAGCAAGCCGCTGCACTGTGCTCGGGTCGCAGCAGGGGCTCAGCTCCTGTGAGTCCACCAGCTAGGAAGGGGGCCTCAGCGCAAAGAGCTGCAGGTTGACGCTGGGGTGGAGGCCCAAGAGAGGGTGTGGGGGCCTCCCACAGACTCCAGCCACATCCCTCTGGGGCTTCAGCAGGCCAGAGCTTGAACTCCCGGGGAGACAAGGACTTCTGTCTGTGGCACACTGTGCTTGTGAGGAGGTCTTGGGTTTCCTGGTCAGTTGAGGTTTGGGGTTTTGCAAGGAGAGCAGTGCAATCAGGGCACGTACTTTATGAGATTATTTATAGTAGTTACTTAAAGAATCATACAAAAAGAGAGCACAGGAAATCTGTTCACACACTAAAGACCAAAGAATCGAGCTGAGGGCCTGGATCCCACGACGATGTGTCACGCAAGCCTGCTTCATGGATCTGTCTTGGGAGGGCCCAAAGGTCAGTGGTGGAGGCTAGAAAGTCTGCGCCAGCGGGACGAAGGAGCTGAGCAGCAGGCTGAGCAACCTGCACCAGAGCCTGGAAGCAGAGCTCCCCTGAAAAGCACCCAGCCATCTCAGTCACAGCAAGCAAGTGAGCTCCGCCAACAAGGACAGCCCCGTTCCCACTGGGACAGCCAGCATGACAAGCTTCTCCAGGAGGCTGAGCAGGGCACCATCCCCTCCAGAGCCAGGGAGCGATGCTCAAGGTGAGGACCAGGGCTCCCCAGGTGAACTGTGGCCATTCCCAGGGACACCAAGGTCCTGAACTCCTTCAGCGGCAAGAATAGCCGAGTTCAGGAAAACAAGATGATGGCTTCTCCAAAACAGCCACCAGTAGCCCCAGGACGGGCAGCAGTTCCAACAGTTCCCAACAGCTTCTAAATGTCTTCCCCTCCAGTTCTGCCTCATCTGCTGCTGGAAACCACCACTTGCCACACAGAACCATGCAGGTTCAGCTCAGCTGGGTATTACAGTACTGACCCCAGGTGGCATCCACCCCACCCATCTCAGCTCGTCTGGCCTTTTGGTCTTTGTTCAGGAACCAGAGCCATGCAACCCCAAAACAGACCACTGTTCTCAGAGGAGAGTCGGATACTAGGGCAGGGAAGGCCCCAGGGACAGGAGGTGAAGTCACCCGTGTAGTCAAGAACACAGGGCTGCTGCTCACCCCCCTTTGGGCAGCCTGCCCTGGATATATAAAGGGCTATGTAAGCTTCAGGGAAACTGGACAGAGTCCCCAAGAGCGCTCCACACTGCAGCTTCTCTGTAAGTCTGAAATTATCCCAAAAATAAAAAGTTTATTTGAAAAAAAACCACAGCCATTGCCTCAAGTGCAGCTCACGAAGGGAACATGACCTAAAAGGTCCTGAATTTGTAAGTAAAGGCACTGTTTCATTTAATGGGTCAGCATGAAGTGGCCAACTCAGATGGTCAATTACCGCTGTCCAAATAGCACAATCCATGGAGCACACAGCTGGAGGGGAGTGAGCCCCAGAGCCCTAGGCAGACCCAGCCAACAGCTGGATGCCACCCAAGAGCCCCTGGAGCCCTGCAGGCCCCACAGAGTGGATTTAGGCTCTGAGGAAGAGGATGTGGCACCAAGAAGCGCACTTGGCTCCGATGAGAGGTGGAGGCCCCTTGGTGCCTGCGCGAGGACCCGGAGCTCTTGGAACTACGCCTACCCCCCAGCCCTTGCATGGAGTTTCACATGGGAATAGGGGGCAGCCCACAGGACACTCACCCCAGCAGCAAGAGCTCAAGGTGTCTCCAGAGCAAACTGCAGGGGGCAGCTCCTTTCCAGGAGTTTTCTTTTCAGCCCAGAATCCCACCACCGTGCTGCGCCCCAGCACCCCTGCCCTGTGAAGCCAGCCCATGCATCCCTGCATCCCCGTGAACTGTGCAGCCACAGCAATGTGCTCCCCAAAGAAGCAAGCGCCTGGGCTTGGGGTGCCCCAGGACCTGCTCGTGTCCCCATCACTGCCCAGGGCCCGAGGCCACACCGCTGGGTCACCTGGCTCTGCTCCAGGATTCTCCCTGCCTCTTCCCACTTCCAGTGGCTCACGGGCTCCTGATCCTGTAGGTGCACCACTCCAGCCTCTACCTGGGCTTTCACACAGCCCTGTGTGTGTGTGTGTGTGTGTGTGTGTGTGTGTGTGTGTGTGCGCACACGCGCGCATGTGCGCATGTGTGCCTGTGTGTTCTCTTCTGTCATATGGATACTGTTGGTGGATTTAGAGCCCAGTACCAAGAAAGAGGCAAGAAAATCATGATTCCATCTTGCCAAAGCCAGACGGCAGTGGGGAAAGGGAGACTCCCAGACAGAGGCTCTGAAACCCTGTGAGTCGGGGGCCTTGGCCACTCGAACTGGCCGAGTCCACCACGTGGGCCACACTTTGGTGCCCAGCCTCTCTTTGTCTTCTGCGCAAGGCAGGCCTGCTTCGGGGTGTCAGGGATGACACGTGGAGGCACTGAGGCCAGGTGAGGGGTCTGGGCCCGAGTGGGGCTTAAGGAAGCTCTGCTGGAATCTGGGGGCCACAGCCCGAGCTGCAGACTGCAGCCAGGGGCAGGCTGTGCACAGGAGGCCAGCGGGCGGCTCAGCTACTGCGGCAGAGGCCTGCGGCCAAGGCGAGTACGATTGCACTGCTCACAGCCTGGGAGGTCTAACATGGCGCGGTGTGAGAGAGGCTCGTGTTGAGTCCATGGCCTGTCAGTGCGGGGCCTGGGCGTTTGCAGGACACTGGCATGCTTGCCTCCCCTCTTGCCTGCAGGAGCCACCCGTGGCTGTCTGAGGGGTTCCTGCGCACCAATCCCTCTGTAGCCTTAGCCCCAACCTAGCTGCAAGCTGCTCACAGATGTCAGCTCTGCCTCCACCTACCAAACGTGTTGAAAAGATGGCCCCAGAGCAACCTGGTCCCTTTGCCCCCTGCTAGCTTTGCCCCCAAAGAGCTGTTTGTGCTCTTTGCTCACTGCATAGTTTGAGGTTCAGCCCTCATTTGCAAGAACCTTGCTGGCCTGTGGCACAGGCACTCAGGTGACCTCCCCTGCGGGGCCCCCTGCATCTTGGGTTCCCCCCCAGTGGCCTTGGATGTGCATGTCCCTGCACCAGAGCCTAGGCTCCACCAGCCCCGGAGCGCCCGTGTTTCTTCATCAGCACTGCCTGGACCCCCATCTTCTGTCCACTCCCCCTCCAGGGAGCTTCTGAATCCCCTTGTTGGTCTATCTGCCTGCCCGGTCCATAGGTAGTGTTTAAACTCTTTGAAGTGTTAAAGTCAGGACCTTCAATCCACTCACCCAGTCTTAGGTTTATTCTTACTTCTGCTTCAGTACCAGGAACCCTGGCTGGGTTGTGCTGGTCCTTGCCCATCCATCTGCCACCCGGGAGAGCCAAGACCAGCAGTCGGGTCATGAAGGGTCCCCAGTAGCTGTCTAGGCCCCCAGCTGCACCTGGCCCACTGGCACCGCAGCTCCAGTCTGACCTGTCCTCGCCTGGTGCAGTGTTTCTGCACAAGCCCACCTCAGGGCTGCTGCCTCTGGATTGGCATTGCAGCGCGGCCTCAAGGGGTGTGCTCTTTGCCTGCTGTGACATCAGCTCCACCAGCGGCACTTCTCTAGCTGCTGCCAGGGTCTTCTCTGGCCTCAACTTCCCCATGCTCAACTTGAGCTGGCTTCCCAGCTGCGGCTCTCCTTCTCTCTAGGCAGACAAGGCACTGATGTCACCATGAGTTGTGAGCATGCATGCACACACAAGTGGGCGCGGGGGCATCAGCTGGCCACACAGATCAGAGTGCCCCATCGCAGCAGCTTCCCAGGCCCTCAGAGCTTACCCCCACACCAGGGGGCAGTGGGCATGGCACCCATCTATCCCAGCTTGCCTTCTCCACAGAGATCTTCCCATGAGCTGACACCACAGCAGAGATCAAACGCCAGCCTTGCATTTTGAAACTGTAAGGCCAAAAATGAAATTATGTAAGCATCACTGTGATTCTGATGGTAGAACTGGCAGCAGCAATGGATGGTGGCAGCAGCTGGGAACCCACAGCATGCCTTATTTGGAAAATAAAGCCCATGTCCTGCCACAGAGCAAAGAAACCAATCCTGGTCTCACCACCTTCCCCCACTGGCCATGTAAACAGCTGCTCTTTGATGTCCTGGCCACTTCTGCCTCAGCAGGCCTTCTTTTCTGTTCCTGCTTCATGGTTACATCCAAAGCACACATGCAGAGCCTTCATACTTTAAGACCTGGCAGGTGAGCAAACTGTTACTCTCCCCTGCTGCTCCCAGAGGCCAGGCAGCCCCTCACTGCCCGAAGCCCCTGGCAGGTCTGTCTCTGCGTCCTCACCCTGCTGTCCTCAGCCACAACCCGTGCTCTCTGATCTTTTACAGGTGCAGAAGAATGAGGGGGGAAAATGTTACCAAGGTCAGCGCGTTCATCCTGCTGGGCTTCCCCACGGCCCCCGGGCTGCATTATGCACTCTTCCTCCTCTTCCTGTTCACCTACCTCTTTGTCCTGGTGGAGAACATGGCCATCATCCTCACCGTCTGGAGCAGCACCTCCCTGCACAGGCCCATGTACTACTTTCTGGGCGCCCTGTCCTTCCTAGAGCTCTGGTATGTGTCTGACATTGTCCCTAAGATGCTGGATGGCTTCCTCCTGCAGCGCAAATGCATCTCTTTCATGGGGTGCATGACTCAGCTCTACTTCTTCAGTTCCCTGGTGTGCACTGAGTGTGTGCTCCTGGCCTCCATGGCCTATGACCGCTACGTGGCCATCTGCCACCCGCTGCGCTACCAAGTCATCATGACCACAGGGCTGTGTGTGCAGCTCGTGGTCTTCTCCTTCGCCAGCGGCTTCACCATCTCCGTGATCAAGGTCTACTTCATCTCCAGCGCCACGTTCTGTGGCTCCAACATCTTGAACCACTTCTTCTGCGACATTTCTCCCATCCTCAAACTGGCCTGCACCGACTTCTCCACCGCAGAGCTGGTGGACTTCGTCCTGGCCTTCCTCATCCTGGTGATCCCACTGCTGACCACCGTTCTCTCCTATGGACACATCAGCCTGGCCGTGCTTCGCATCCCCTCAGCCACGGGCCGCTGGAGAGCCTTCTCCACCTGCGCCTCCCACCTCACTGTTGTCACCCTCTTCTACATGGCCATGATCTTCATGTATGTCCGGCCCCAGGCCATTGACACTCGGAGCTCCAACAAGCTCATTTCTGCAGTGTACACTGTCCTCACACCCATGATAAACCCCTTGATCTACTGCCTGAGGAATACAGAATTTAAGGACTCCTTGAGAAAGGCCTTGGGCTTTGGTCAAGCTCCGCAGTAGGACAGTTGCGTATCCTAGAATCTAATTTATGTTGATACAAGATTTGTTACACAGATGCACTTTACATTTTAAATGAAAATAACAAAACTACAGAAATATCCACAATAAAATCTTTCATCTTTTTTCGGGAAAGGACTGCACTCGTGGAACCAGTTTCCACGGGGATCAGGAATTAGAGGCCTCTTTCTAGCTTCTTGGCTCTGTCTATAATCTCTACAATGGAAAGTAGATGTACTGTGAGGTCAGCAGAAGTTGCAAAACTGTTACCCAAAGCGCATGCACCAGTGCTTGACCAGTGCAGGAGAACCCAATAGTTCCACAACCTTACCAACACTGAGTGTTGTCGATGCTTCAATTTAGCCCTCGTGGGTCCTGGGTGGTGGCTGCATGTCTTGACTTTAATTTGTTTTTCTTTCTTTCTTTTTTTGGAGATTATTATTTTATTTTGCAAAAAAAAAATAAAATATTTTACAATCAAATAATAATAAATATAGTTATGACTGTGTATCTCTCTTCAAAGTAGTAAAAAATACAAACCACAAAAATTCTTGCAGAAAAAGGATCAAATAATAATGCACTTTTTTTCAATGAACCTAAGATAAACTAATGGTACAAATGAAACAAATTAGCATATATTAAAAGATTTAAAGCAATGGAATTTACAGTTTAGGTAAGAATTCGAATGTACCCTATTCCCTCTTCCTTTCTCTTGCATTTTTTTTTTTTTTGGCTTTAATTTGGTTTCCCCCCATAAAAAGGGATGCTGAGCACCTTTTCCACATTTGGTGGCCTGTTGTCCTTTGGATGTCTCTGAAGTGCCTGTCTGCACCTTCTTTTTATACAAGATCTCTTCACATACAGCGTTTCTTATTCAAGCCCTCTGCTGGCTTTATTTATGCAAAATCCTTGTTCCATGCGCAGGCTTGTCTTTCATTCTTGTAATGCTGTCTTTTGATGAAGAGAAGTTCCTTTATTTTGATATCCAATATGTCCATACACTTCCCCCTTTGTAATTATGGATTTTCCACTTAGGGAATGTCTGCCTCCCCACAGGTCACGAAGGTGTTCTCCTGTTTCATGCTAAAAGTGCTGTTGTTTTATTCTTTTGTGTTTAAATCTGCAACCCATCTGTTATGCCTTATACCTAGGTGTCCCCCTTTAGTCTCGTAGGTGGGGCTTTTTCAGAAGTGGTTGGATCTAGGGAGTGTGAGGCTGGGACTGGTTCATGGCCCAATCTAGCTTGGGGGTGCTAGGATTAAGGGTGAGTGGTACCTGCTTTAAGTATCTTGAACAATACATAAGGGATTGCGTGGCCCTGGTCATACCTTTTTCTGTTTTGCTACCTTCTGCCCAACATGAACTGCTTCTCATCTGATGCCAAGCCTTGGAGTCACTGAATATGGCCTGAAATCTCTACATACTGTGAGCTAAATAAACCTTTCCTCCTTGAACTTTGGGCATTGGGTATTTGGCTTCAACAATGAGAAAAGTAACTAAGACACCATCTGAAATTAACTTTTGGTAGGGGACACTCCATTTGCTTTCCGTGGACATCAGAACGATCCAGTGCCCACTCGCTGGTCCCTGAACAGTTCACTTTCCCTCTGCAACATCGCCCTTTTCAGAGACCAGGTGATTTATGTGTGTGGCTCCTGTGTGTGTGGCTCCGCCCCAATCAAGGGGCTCCCTGCCCATCCCTGCACAGTGCCACGTGGCGGCCAGCACACGGCTCCCGTGTCTGTTGGCTTGCTGTGCATACATGTTCGGTTCCAGGCTCCTTGGCTGCTTTTAGCGCCTCCTGGACAGATACTCATTCTAGCATCTGCTTGTCATCGAAAGAACAGCTTGATGGAGTTTCCTTGGGATTGTGCGGGATCTATTGGTCAATCTGCAGATAAATGTCATCTCCACAATGTTGAGAATTTCCATTCAAAAATAAGATATATCCCTCACTTCTTGTATAGTTCTTCACGTTCAATTCCTCCATATTATTTTGTACTATTTTTTGATGTAGGAGTCTTTCACTTTTTTGATATTTTAATTGTTCAAAAAATTTCTTTGGGGAATAATTATAGACTTACAGGAAGACGTGACCATCTATGTGTGGTGGACTGTGTGCCCGCCTTCCTGTCCCCCGGCAGCACCATCTTGCCTTCCAGGGGGCAGTGTCAGCACCAGGAGGGTGTCTCTGGCACACATGCAGGGCTCTGCTCAGTTCCCACAATTACACATTCACTCATCTGCGTCGGTGTGCACACAGCTCCAAGCAATGCGCCACACACGCAGGAAGCACCTCAGGTGTGCGCGTGCAGGTGACACTCTCACCCTCCCACTTGCAGCTACGCTCCCTCTCCAACCTCCAGCAGCCACTAACTTGCTCTCTACAATTTGTTGTTTAAAGGGTATTAAATACATCAGACATGCCACATTAACCTTTTCAGATTGGCTTGTTTCCATTCCCCACAATTCCCTTCTGATCCATCCAAGGTGCTACCTGTGTCAATTGTCTCCTCTTTTTTAGGGCTGAGTAGTATTCCACAGCATGTCTCTGGCTTGGTTTGCTAATTGGGTCATCTGTTGAATAAGGGGGTGGCTACCAGTGTTTAGCTGGCAGGAATGAAGATGCTGGGAAGTGATGTCCGTGCTTCTCAGTGAGCCTACATTCTCACTTCTCTGGGCTGAATGTCCAATGGGATAACTTCAGGATATTCATTTTTATGTGGTGAATCAATTTTTGGTTTTCAAAGGAGATAGCAAAGTCCTTACTCGAGTAGCTCTACCACTTACAGTCTCACCAGACATATACAGGCAAACTGGCGCTTCTGTGTCCTTCCCAGAATTCGATGCCATCCTTGCATTGTTCCATTTAGCGCTTCTGTTAGGTTGTAGTAATAGCTCATTATGGACATCAACATTTTTCTAGTGGCTAATGAAGTCGGCCATGGTTTCAGGTGCTTATTTGCCACATAGATGTCCTCTTCTGTGAAATTTACCCATTTTGAAATAGATGGTTTGATTCTTAGAGCCCACTTTGTGTCCAGATAAAAGTGCCTCATCAGATCTGTGGCCTGCAGAACTCTCCTACATGTCTGTAGCTTGTCATGTTATCCTCTTAAAATGATCTGTCAGAGTAAGGGGTTTTGATTTTCATGAGGTTCCATATACCGATTTTTCCTCTTATGAATTATGCTTTTGATGTTATTTTAATTCTTGCCCAAATCCCAAGTCTTTACCCTATTTTTTCCTAAAAATTTTATAGATTTTAAATTTAAGTCCACAACGCATTTTGAGTGAAATTTTGAGGTGTGAAGCTAACGCAGAGGCTCGTCTCCACCAGGGCCACCCATTGCTTTCACACTGTCTTCTGTAGAACTCAATCTGCAGGGCGCTCTGACAGCCTGGAGTGTATTTGTGTGGGGTCATTTCTGGCCCCTGCTGTGCTCTTTCTCACTAGCCTTTGCATCTGTCAACACCACAACCTGCATCACTGTCACAAGCTCTGGATTAACCGCGTGTGACAGACCTCAACGCTGGGAGAACAGATCCGCTAGCTGTATTCCTCTTTTTCAAAATGATCATTCTAATCTAGGGCCTTTACATTTCCACGTACATTCTAGAAGAAGCTTGTTTGTGTCAATAAAAAGCTTTCCTGAGATTTTGACAGGAATTCCACTCATCTACAGACCAATGTGAGAATGACTGGCATTGCCAGTTTTCTTCTAATTCAGGAACACAGCAGACATCTCTAATTCTTGGGGTTTCCTTTGATTTTCTGCATCAGTTTCACCGTCTCAGCACAGATCCTGTGCATGCTTTGCTATAAGAATTGTAGTCACTGGAGGAACTGTCCATGGTCAATTCGTCTTGTTAGTAGTATTCACAATACTGTGTCATTTTGTGTATTTATCTTGTATCTTGTAATCTTTCATAACTTGCTGTCTCCGTTACTTTTCACTCATTGTTGGGACAAAATACCCGACACCAAAATTAAGGAAGGAAAAGTTTAGCTCAGTTTGTGGAAGTTTCAGTCCATACTCGGCCAGCTCCAAGGCAGAGCAGCACATGGCAGAGGGCAGCTGTTCCTGGTGGCAGAAAACAGCAAAGGTAGGAGCAGCAGCTGCGGCTTCTAGCAAGTCTCTCTGCCCTTCTTAAGTTACAAGCAGGCTACCCTGGGGTGTAGAACTCTCACCATGTCCAAGCCCTCCTCTTGTGTAGGATGAGGATGTTTATTCAGCAAAATCCCTGGCTCCCTGCTGAGTCACTGGAACTTCTAAACTTCTCAAGTTGACACGTTTCACCCCTACACTCAATCTAGGAGCTTTTTGTAATTTCTATTGTTTCCTTATAAACCGTCATATCATAGTTTTATTACTTTCCAATTTATATAACCCACATCAGCTTCACACACATGAATGCTAGGCACTTAAGGCATATCTGTAACATGAGGCTTGACATCTCCAGATCTGCCTGGCCTACCTCATCCTCCTTCCAGACTGAGGATGCCAGGATGCACACCGCTAAAGCAGTTTTCAGGATAAAAGGGGGTCATCTAAGTGCCAGTTGTTACATCCAGTTCCAGGTGCCTGGAAGCAACGTCCAGAGTCTCATTTATTCACTCCTGTAGTCACCCCAGGAAAAGCAGAGCCTCAGAGACCAACTACAAGGCGTCACCCCAACCTGCAAGCAGGAACTACTTACTGCAGGTAGGAACTGAGGCTGCGCTCCCCACACGGACTCAGCATTTCATGATGGGAACTGAGCTGGCCCCTGCAGGGAGGATGGCGCTCCAGGGTCTTTACCGGAATTACCTACCCAGCTGTCTATGCAAACCACCCAGCTAGCTATGCACACTCAACTTGGACCTCTGCTCCCTTTTTCTATGAAACCCTTAAGCTGCCACCCTCACAAAGACAGATCCTGAACCACTTTCCCTGTGATTTAGCATGGCCAGCCTCACTAAATTTCGCTTCACGCCCTGCACGCCGGCTGTCTCTGGGATCAGCTTTATGGCTGAACAGCCTGGTCTGCTTGGACCCCCCAGCGCCACGCCTCACAATTCCAGTGACACGGTCCCTGTGAAAAGGATAACTGCAATCACACCACTTGGGATCGCTGTCTTCACGAAGGGTGCTGTCTTGGAGTTGAGAGCATGAATGTTTTGTTCTTTTTCATTCCCACGTAGATTAGCTCCCGTATGGTACTGCTCAGCTTGTGTAACATTCAGCCTGGGAAGGATGTCTGACCAGACCCCATCTTTTGCTTACTGCCAATAAAGCTGTGTGACCTGTATGTGCACCCATAGGGTAGGTGAAGTGAGCTTTATCCTGCCCCATGATGCAGTTCAGTCTCTGGGGAGCGACGCTTTGGCACAGGGCCACCCTCGGAGAGGAGGCGCCGCTCACCTCGGGGTGCACAGGAGGCAGTAAAAGCAGAGCGGGGCTGGGCAGCGAGGCGCAGCCCTCCCCGCAGCAAGCCGGACGCGGAGCACCGTGACCCGGTCACTTTCCCAAGGCCCCGCGAGCCTGAGGCTTCAGAGGACTGTCTAGACACACGCCACAGCAGCTGGAG